GAAGAAGAAGAGTTTGGATTTGATATCCCACTTTATCACTACCCGAAGGAGTCTCAAAGCGGCTAACAATCTCCTTTCCCTTCCTCCCCCACAACAAACACTCTGTGAGGTGAGTGGGGCTGAGAGACTTCAGAGAGCTGTGACTAGCCCAAGGTCACCCAGCAGCTGCATGTGGAGGAGCAGGGAAGCGAACCCAGTTCAATGGGTTCAACCCAGTTCAATTGAACTCCTCAATGCCTTCTTTGCCTCAGTCTTCTCCGATAAAGAAAACAATGCCCGACCTGAAGAATTTGGAGCAAATGATTCAGCAAAGGAAACACAGCCCAGAATAACTAAGGAGATAGTACAAGAATACTTGGCTAGTTTAGATGTATTCAAGTCTCCAGGGCCAGATGAACTGCATCCAAGAGTATTAAAAGAACTGGCAGATGTGATCTCAGAACCACTGGCAGTCATCTTTGAGAATTCCTGGAGAACAGGCGAAGTCCCAGCAGACTGGAGGAGGGCAAATGTTGTCCCTATTTTCAAAAAGGGGGAAAGAGAGGACCCAAATAATTACCGCCCAGTCAGTCTGACATCAATACCAGGGAAGATTCTGGAGCAGATCATTAAGCAAACAGTCTGTGAGCACCTAGAAAGGAATGCTGTGATCACCAATAGTCAGCATGGATTTCTGAAAAATAAGTCATGTCAGACTAACCTGATCTCGTTTTTGACAGAATTACAAGCCTGGTAGATGAAGGGAACGCAGTGGATGTAGCCTACCTTGATTTCAGCAAGGCATTTGACAAGGTGCCCCATGATATTCTTGTAAAGAAGCTGGTAAAATGCGGTCTTGACTATGCTACCACTCAGTGGATTTGTAACTGGCTGACTGACCGAACCCAAAGGGTGCTCATCAATGGTTCCTCTTCATCCTGGAGAAGAGTGACTAGTGGGGTGCCACAGGGTTCTGTCTTGGGCCCGGTCTTATTCAACACCTTTATCAACGACTTGGATGATGGACTCAAGGGCATCCTGATCAAATTTGCAGATGACACCAAACTGGGAGGGGTGGCTAACACCCCAGAGGACAGGATCACACTTCAAAACGACCTTGACAGATTAGAGAACTGGGCCAAAACAAACAAGATGAATTTTAACAGGGAGAAATGTAAAGTATTGCACTTGGGCAAAAAAAATGAGAGGCACAAATACAAGATGGGTGACACCTGGCTTGAGAGCAGTACATGTGAAAAGGATCTAGGAGTCTTGGTTGACCACAAACTTGACATGAGCCAACAGTGTGACGCGGCAGCTAAAAAAGCCAATGCAATTCTGGGCTGCATCAATAGGAGTATAGCATCTAGATCAAGGGAAGTAATAGTGCCACTGTATTCTGCTCTGGTCAGACCTCACCTGGAGTACTGTGTCCAGTTCTGGGCACCACAGTTCAAGAAGAACACTGACAAACTGGAACGTGTCCAGAGGAGGGCAACCAAAATGGTCAAAGGCCTGGAAACGATGCCTTATGAGGAACGGCTAAGGGAGCTGGGCATGTTTAGCCTGGAGAAGAGGAGGTTAAGGGATGATATGATAGCCATGTTCAAATATATAAAAGGATGTCACATAGAGGAGGGAGAAAGGTTGTTTTCTGCTGCTCCAGAGAAGCGGACACGGAGCAATGGATCCAAACTACAAGAAAGAAGATTCCACCTAAACATTAGGAAGAACTTCCTGACAGTAAGAGCTGTTCGACAGTGGAATTTGCTGCCAAGGAGTGTGGTGGAGTCTCCTTCTTTGGAGGTCTTTAAGCAGAGGCTTGACAACCATATGTCAGGAGTGCTCTGATGGTGTTTCCTGCTTGGCAGGGGGTTGGACTCGATGGCCCTTGTGGTCTCTTCCAACTCTATGATTCTATGATTCTATGATTCACCAGATTACGAGTCGACCGCTCTTAACCACTACACCACACTGGCTCTCAGAAGATTCAGATAAAAGAAAAGTACTTCTTCACAGAGCACAAGTTAAATTATGGAACTTGCTCCCAAAGGAAGTAGAGACGGCCACCAACTTGGGAGGGTTTTAAAGGAAGATTAGATAAATTAATTGAGGACAAGGCTACCAACACCATGAGCCATGGTGGTTATGTTTTATCTCCACTGCCGGAGGAAATACATTTCTGAATTCCAGTTTCTGGAACAGAAGAAGAGGAGAGATCAGGTTCTGTCTTGGGGCTAATAATAATAATAATAATAATAATAATAATAATAAATTTATACCTCGCCCATCTGGCTGGGATTCCCCAGCCACTCTGGGTGGCTCCCAATAAAATATTAAAAACACGATAAAACATCAAACATCTAAAGCTGGGAACTGCCAGAAGGCCCTCAGAGCTGGACCTCAGGTTGAACAATGGGGGTGGAGAAATTTGGCTGGCCACTATGAGAACAGTATGCTGGACTGGATGGACCACTGCTCTAATTCAGCAAGTTCTTCTTATGTTCTAGTATCAGCTAAATAAAATGGTTTTGTTTCTTTGTTTGTTTTTTGCTTTATATTGCTCTTTCCATCTTGAAGATGAAGCAAGCTTGGTGGTAAAAGGAAAATGGATGAGCTGGGCTGGGTGTAGTAGGCTAGTCTACTTATAACATCCCTCTCAGTAGGTGGGATCAGAAGCAAGTTCTTCCTGGGAGCAGACAAGATGACCTCAGCAGTCCAAGGGTATTTTAGAAGTAGAGAAGGTAGCATAGTGGAAAGGAGCTGATGGGGTGGCCTAAGAGGTGGGAATTGGTGAACTAAACCAGAGTCATAGCTAGAGGGGGGCTAGCCAGGCTTTTTGCCCCAGGAGAAGCCTCCAGAGGGGCCACATTAAGGCTTCCAACCTGTGTTTGTTGGTTTTGGTTGTTGTTGTGTTGTTTTTCTGCCAAACTGGGTCTTTCACCCGGGTGAAATAAAGCCTAGTTTTGCCCCTGACTTAACTCCTTCCTCTCTTACAGACCTCAACTGGAGTACTGTGTCTAGTTCTGGGCAATCCAGTTTAAGAAGCATATAGACAAACTGGAGTACGTCCAGAGGAGGGTGGCAAAGATGGGGAGGAGCCTGGAGACCCAAGTTCTATGAGGAAAGGTTGAAGGAGCTGAGTACGTGTAACACAGAGAAGAGATGCCCATGGGACAATATGTTGCTCATCTTCAAATATCTAAAGTGCTGTTACATAGATGGTGGAGCAAATCTGTTTTCTATTGTTCCAGGTAGCAGGTCCTGAACTAATAGCTTCAAATTATATGGGGGGCGGGGAAGAGTTTGGATTAATCATGAGAAAGAACTTCATACCTGAAGGTATGAAGTTTGTATACCAATCAGGGGGCCATATTCAACCAAGTGGCCCTGATGTGGGAAACCTATGTGATTTTATGTTCTGAACTACCCTGAGATATACAGTTATATGGTGGTATACAAATAAATAGGGACGCGGGTGGTGCTGTGGGTTAAACCACAGAGCCTAGGGCTTGCCGATCAGGAGGACGGCGGTTCAAATCCCCGCGACGGGATGAGCTCCCGTTGCTCGGTCCCTGCTCCTGCCAACCTAGCAGTTCGAAAGCACGTCAAAGTGCAAGTAGATACAGTGGTGCCTCGCAAGACGAAATTAATCCGTTCCGCGAGTGTCTTCGTCTAGCGGTTTTTTCGTCTTGCGAAGCAACCCTATTAGCGGCTTAACGGATTAGCGCTATTAGCGGTTTAGCGGCTATTAAAGGCTTATCGGCTTAGGGGATTAGCTGCTAAAAGGCTATTAAAGGCTTACCGGCTTAGATAAAGGGGGAAAGCGGGAAAAATCTCAAGACTCGCAAGACATTTTCGTCTTGCGAAGCAAGCCCATAGGGAAATTCGTCCTGCGAAGCAACTCAAAAACGGAAAACCCTTTCGTCTAGCGGGTTTTCCGTCTTGCGAGGCATTCGTCTTGCGGGGCACCACTTCCTCTGTCGGGAAGGTAAACAGCATTTTCGTGCGCTGCTCTGGTTTGCCAGAAGCGGCTTAGTCATGCTGGCCAGATCATTCCATCAGGCAAACAGAAATGCTTGCACTACACTGAATTCCTCCCGGGATCCTATGGAGGAGTTTGACATTGGCAGGGAGTTAAGACTCCATGACCTTCAACAAGATCCTTTCTAACTCCATGATCCTATTGTCTCCCAGTTACTACTTGCGTATCTTCTGCAGTTCAGGAAATATCACTTTCTGTGCTGCTGTTGTTGAGAGGATCACGATTCCTCCTCTGATGGTTCTTTTCCAGTTTTGCATATTAGCACATCAGTGAAGACAGACCATGTGGAATAAACCTTTGCCTACATATTTCTCTGTGAGGCTAGGAATTCTGACGCCGCTTCTAGCCATTCAAATAATAAGTAACTTAAACAGAAGCAACCCAAGTAATGAAGATGATTTGGATGTGGTCCAGATGCAGCTACCTTATTTGCTTAGACACCATTTATTACTGTTACATTTTATTATGGAGTAGTAAAAATTTATAAGGCAACATCCTGTGTTGTTTCCCCACTGGGATAAATGATACAAATGTACTATTAAATCTCAATGCCTTCCACCAGCATGCCAAGCTCCATTCCATTTCTGTTTTCGTAATGTGTCAACAACTTGCTATTTTTGCTCAGCGGAGCCTTTTCTGTATTTAAGATATTTAAATCTTCTGCGAAAACAGGAAGCTCCAAAGGCTTGCAACCCTTATATCTCCTTCCTATGACGTTTAACGGCATGGCAGTTTCAACAAGAACCTAAACAAAGAAATTTGAGGTTGCATTTTCTCGCTTTTCCTGTAATGAATTACAGGGGCAGGGGCCTTGATTCTCACTGGGACCATTGCATAGCTAAAACTTCCCTCCCCAGCTGCAATCTGGATAAAACGTGGTCCTCCGAAGAGCTATGAAATTGCACCACCTGAGCAAGGAATGACACAGGGAGCACAATAATAGGCAGCATCTGGAACATATAGACCCTGAACCCGCATGCACAACAAGAGTAGCTGGCAAGGTGAGTCATGGGTTTGGGGTCACCCTACTGACAGTGGTATTGCTGCTGCTTACCAGAGTGGTCCAAGGGCAAGGCAGGGTGAGGTGAGTTTAGGACATAGCTATCAACTTACAGATTTGAAAATAAGGGATCAGCAGCCAAAATAAGGGATTTTCCAAACACAGGTATGTTCAACTTCTGAGCCCCACCAAACCAAACGCAGAAAGCCCAGCCAGCAGCCAAACGAAGCCTCAAGCGGTGGTCCCCACAGCGCAGCTACCCAGCAAAGGGGATGCAGCAAGGAAAACCACCGTCACCTCTCCGCTGGGAAGTGCTGAGCAAAGGCGAGTCCCCAGGCAACGCAGCCGATTTGATCGGCACAAGGCATGCAAGCTCCACCCCCCAGTCATTCTTAGACTCCTTATTGGGTGAGCAATGCAGCCAAGCAACGCAGTTGGAGCCTCCCTGGCCGGCAGGGAGGGAGGGAGAGGAGCTGCTTCCTTTGAAACCAGGGAAATTTAAGGGACATCATCAATAAGGGACAGCAGCGGGACACAGTGCTGGGATAAGGGAGTTTCCCGCCAAATAAGGGACACTTGACAGCTATGGTTTAGGACTACATGGGTGCACTGGCAGAGCCAATCCAGTGCTCCTGACAGTGGGCTCATGCAACTCTGGCCTTGCCAGCACCCTGCCCAATCCTCATCCAAAATCAGTTGTCAGGAGGGCAGCTCCAAAACCTTGGCTCCACTATTCTGGCTGTTCATGATGCAGAATACAAAAACAAAATAAATAAAAAACCCACAACAAACCAGAGTCAGTCCTCTATTCAATGGCCTGTCAGAGGGCAACCCTCATTTTTAAGTAGAAGTTCTCTATTTGAAGGGCGGTCTGGTCCAAAGCCTGTTTACAGAGAGAATTTAGAGAGTTGCCCATCAATAATTAGGACCTCATCAGCAGGCTGAGCAGGACTACAGGCTACCTTGTCAACGTTTTCTCCACTATGATGAGATGTATTATTTCAGCTCTATGATAGCTATTGTTTCCAATTTTGTATCAATACATATAAATTAGCACATGCAAACCTCGTACAAATCTGAGTCCTCTTTTTCCTTCTTTTCAGCGACACGTAAGTAGCCATGCTGAATCCCAGTTCTCTTTCATGGCCAGACACGGGCTTTCTAAGGAAGAAGCAATGCCCTACAAGCTAAATCTGAGCCTAAGGAACAGAACTGCTCGATCTTTGAAGCAAATATGATTGATCACCTTACACTGCGCAGAGGACAAAGAAGTACAGAGGATCCCGTCCAGAGCTTTACATCCTGTCACCAGCTCACCAAGGGTGAATGATCCTTCACTGTATATCACTGAGATGCACAGGGTATATTCTGGCTGGGGGGAAAGTGCCAACGCCTGGGCTTGCAGAGGGCAGCTGAACCAACACTGCTTCCTGATCTCAGCCCCATTTCAGAAAGAGAGGCAGCCAGCAAGGAGGGAACGAGGGGTAGAAACTGCAGCAATTTGGCTGTGCTGCAGAGTCGATGATACTTGCAACGTTCATCATTTCAGTAGAACAAACCACCCAGACCCTCCAGCAGATGCTGCAGCCACAAACATGACAGGAGACTCATCAGCCTTGCCACCAGAAGCAGTACTGGCTGCTGCAGCAGCTGCCACAGCTGATCTCGCAGTGAGTAATGAAACACCACACTTCTCCCAAGCTTCTAAAATAGGAGGAGGCTCCCGGCTCATTTCAGATCTTAATGTCTCCAAAGCCCAGCAAGATGTTCGGGGGGGGGGAGGAGATATGGACCCTCCACTTGTAGTACCACTTATTCCAGAATCAAACTGATTGCCAGCATTCTCAAGGTTGCATAGTTCTGGGAGTTAGTTAGAATCAGATAATCTACTGTATTTTTCGTTCTATAAGACACACTTTTTAGGAGGGAAAAAGTAAGGGGAAATGTGTGTGTGTCTTATGGAGCGAACGCAGGCTGCACAGCTATCACTGATGCCAAAACAGCAAGAGGGATTTCTGTGCAGCGATCCCTCTTGCTGTTCTGGCTTCTGGGATTCAGAATATTTTTTTTCTTGTTTTCCTCCTCAAAAACTAGGTGTGTCTTATGGTCTGGTGCGTCTTATAGAGCGAAAAATACAGTACATTCAGAAGCCTCCATGCTCCAGTTTTTTATGCAATTGCTCCTTGACTTTTAAAGGAAAAAAGGAGTTGTCCATTAAAGGAGATGTCAGTCACCACGAGGCACAGAGAAGAAACAAGGTTGACTGTGGAAGTTGCAAAATGCATCTACCTTCTCTTTTATACAAAACATAAATAATAACTGACTCAAATGATCATATGAGAATGCACACATATAAACAGAAAGAAGAAACGCACAGCGGATTAGTAAACACAACAAATGTTAGAATAAGCAGCCTACACGTGAGACACGAACAATAAGAAAAAATAAGAAAAAAGCCCTCATATACCACCTAGCGACCACATTTGAGGCATTCAGTGTAGCCACGTCGGGAGGACGGAATGAACTCAAGCCTTTGGCCTCTCGTTTTATGGCTGTAAAATATCTAAAATATGGTGGTAAGTGAGGAGAAAGCAGGCTACAATAGTGGCTCGCAATACTATAAAGTTTAACAGGTGCCGAAATAAGAGATTTTAAAAATATATATTATATGTCCGTTACGACTTTGGATCGGAAATTTTAACAGAGTTTTTACAGCTCTATTGAAGGTAGCAAGAGCTATACAGCTGGCATAAAAGGAATAACTGTATAAAATGTGACATATTAGCGATTGCGTATTTTTTTAAAAAACAACACAGAGTTCTCTTTCTTTCTTTTTAAGCCACCCTAGTGGGTTGACAGTGCTTTGAAACTTATTTTGTGAAGCTGTCCTTTACTTGCTAGGAAAAGAGCGTCGCAGGTGGCGAGAGGGGTTCCGTGAGTGCAGGAATCACCTGGCGCTGGTCCCTGAGGAAGAGACGTCTGGGTCTAGGGAGCAGGATCCAGATAGCAAGGAACGGTTGAGTTCTGCAGGACCTATGAGAACCTCCAGTGACAGCTTCCGAAAAGAGATGTGCTGCTTTGACAGGTGAGCATGGCCCGGCACCTGAGGAGCCAAGCAGGCCTGCTGAGAGCTCTCCCTTCGACACAAGGTAGGGCGGGACAGACTGAACGAGGCAGACCTCTGACTTGGAGCGGTGCTTTCTATTTAGCGACTGAATTTTCTCAGGCTGTACAGTGGGACTTAGGTGCTGGAAATTTAGATGGGAGCGTGAGGTCTCCGGCAACTAAAAGCTGAGAGGGGTTCCAGTACCTTCAGTCTGAAGTCTGCCAGAAAGAAACTCCTATAGATCCACATCTGTATGGGTTAATCATAATAATAATAAATAATAATAAATTTTTATTTATATCCCGCCCTCCCCAGCCGAAGCCGGGCTCAGGGCGGCTAACAACAATAAAATAATACAACATTCTAAAATCATGTTTCGGCCTTAAATGGATTTTGCACTTACCAAGTTTTGCCTCCGTATTTCTTGGCAATTTTAATTGTGTGCCTGGGGGAATGAGCCAATGAACCTGGAGTGGGATAGGGTTGCCCCCTATAGCAGTGGTTATGGGTTAGTGGGCCATATGGTGTTGGGGTCTTCAGAAGTCAAGCTAGGCTAATCAGGCTAGGACTACTCACTTAGCTTTAGAAATGGACAACAGAGCCAGCTGCATGAGGGAGCAGTTTCCCAGAACAGAGAGAGCAAGGGGTACCAGCAATTCCAGTGGGATCCAAGTTTTCCTGGGTGGTGTGTGCAAAAGTATGTGGCTTGATTATTGTAACTACGTGGGGCTGCCCTTGAAGCTGACCCAGAAACTCCAGCGGGTGCAGAATGCTGCAGCGAGGCTCCTTAAGGGGTCCTTGCTGCGAGATCACATTCACCCGGTGCTATACCAGCTGCACTGGCTCCCGGTGGAGTACAGGGTCAGGTTTAAGGTGCTGGTTTTGACCTTTAAAGCCCTATGAAGCCTAGGACCCACATACATACGGGACCGCCTCTCCTGTTATGCCCCGCGGAGGACCTTAAGGTCCACAAATAACAACACTTTGGAGGTCCCAAGTCGCAAGGTGGTTAGACTGGTCTCAGCTAGGGCCAGGGCCTTTTCAGTACTGGCCCCGACTTGGTGGAACGCTCTGTCACAAGAGACCAGGGCCCTGCGGGACTTGACATCTTTCCGCTGGGCCTGCAAGACAGAGCTGTTCCGCCTGGCCTTTGGTTTGGACTCAGTCTGACCCTTATGTTTCCCTCCCCTTATGGTCTTGATCTATGGGGTACTTTTAAAATAAGGCTGCATTTTAAATTGCATTTTAACCTGTAATTTAAATTGGTTCCCCCCCATTATGTTTTTACTGTAATTTTACTGGTGTTAGCCACCCTGAGCCCAGCTCTGGCCGGGGAGGGTGGGGTATAAATAAATTTTATTATTATTATTAAGAAAAGTTCTGTGAGCATATTTCTGGATGGAAGCTCTTCTTAATGGATGCTAATGGGTGAAAAATGCATACATTTACCTATGGTTTGCAATGCCTTAGATCATGGGTAGGCAAACTAAGGCCCGGGGGCCTGATCCGGCCCAATCGCCTTCTCAATCCAGCCCGCAGACGGTCCGGGAATCAGCGTGTTTTTACATGAGTAGAATGTGTCCTTTTATTTAAATTGCACCTCTGGGTTATTTGTGGGGCATAGGAATTTGTTCATTATTTTTTTCAAAATATAGTCCGGCCCCCCACAAGGTCTGAGGGACAGTGGACCGGCCCCCTGCTGGAAAAGTTTGTTGTCCCCTGCCTTAGATGCATCCTCCGCCCTATCATGGCTTGGTTGGAGGGTGCCTGCATGAACTGGAGGTTTCATGCTCTTACATCTAACTCAGAATCATAGAATCATGAAACTGTAGAGTTGGAAGGGACCCTGAGGATCATCTAGTCCAACCCTCTGCAGTGCAAGCATCCTGACCACAGCCGTCCCAGGGTTGGGCTGGAACCAGCAACCTTCTGGTTAGCAGTCAGATGCACTGACCCATTGTGCTGCTACAAGACTTCCTTTCACCAATTAATATCGGTAGAGTTCAACAAACCCAAACTACAACTTCCTTACCCTGTACGTCTAAGCTTTTGCTTTACATACTTTTCTGGGCAACCTAAGTATTTTGGAGTTAAGCTGCTAGGGACATGCTTAAAATGACAGCAAGGCTGAAGTCCCTGGTAACACGGTGGCCGGTATCCCCTTCCACTGAAAGGGACGTGAGAGAGTGGGGGCAGCATGGTTTTCTAGATTCATTTCAGTCAGGCTTCAGGAGTGGATTTAGAACATGAAACTGCCTTGAGTTGAACTTTGCTGAGACAGAGAGAACAGGGAAGAGTGACCTTGTTGGTCCTCTTTGTGGGAAGGAGCCTTTGCTCAGTGGTAGGGAATCTGGTTTGAATGCAAATGGTACTCTGTTCAATGCCTGGCATCTCCAGACAGGGCTAGAAGTGTCCCCCATCTGGCTCCCTAGAGAGTTGCAGCGGTCTATGCAGCTTCTTGGACGTGGGTGGTGCTGTGGGTTAAACCACAGAGCCTAGGACTTGCCGATCAGAAGGTCGGCGGCTCGAATCCCCGCGACAGGGTGAGCTCCCGTTGCTCTGTCCCAGCTCCTGCCAACCTAGCAGTTCGAAAGCACGTCAAAGTGCAAGTAGATAAATAGGTACCACTCCGGCGGGAAGGTAAACAGCATTTCCGTGCGCTGCTCTGGTTCACCAGAAGCGGCTTAGTCATGCTGGCCAAATGACCTGGAAGCTGTCTGCTGATAAACACTGGCTCCCTCGTCCTGTAAAGCGAGATGAGCGCCGCAACCCCAGAGTTGTCTGCAACTGGACTTAACTGTCAGGGATCCTTTACCCTTTTTTTTTTAACCTTCTGGGTAGGTTCCCCAAGGCGTGCACTGCTTGGCAGTTCTGCTTGGAGGGCGGATTCCTGAAGGTGGCCCTGGGTGTCCACTCTTGTGCTTTGAGATTCCACTGGGTAGAAGAGATCAATGGGATGACATGAGACCATATAGGTACATGAAATCACATGCATATCACGCCCAGCTTTTTCTCTCTTTTTCCACTATGTGTAGGTGGGGCTCTGGGTATCATGAATCAATGTGTGGGCATGGTAACGGACTGGGTGAGAGAACACACTGAGACTCGGTCCAGATTTATGGGGTGAACAACATGAAAGATATGCAGGACCAAATATACAAGAAGCATAAGACCACAGCATACTTATGGGCTCAAATAGACAAATGTAAATAATGGAGAAAGGGTTTTCCTTTGCTTGCTAAATTGGGAGCAGTGAAAAAGGTTTGGCACCCTAGGCCACAGACAGATTAAAAACAATGCAGGTGTATAATTAGGCATTAATTACCTTACCACACTTTTTACTAAAGGGCTACAAATTTTAAAGAATTAAACTGAATCAAACAAAACCACCTCAACGAATCGAACCAATAAACAAGAGAGATGCACGTTCTTCTGGTTAGCTAAGCTAGCCAGCTGGCTTTAGCTTTTTCTTTCTTGCAAAGGCATTCAGGCTCGCAAATGGAATATCCCCGAGTGATGTGAACTGATTTCACTTTACAGGTGAAGCCAGGAAGTGAAATTGCCCTACAGGGACACAGAAAGGAGAGAAGAAGGGGAGAGACTTGTGCTGTAAAGGTGTGGAATTGCAGGCTGAATTTTTAAAAAAATTAAGATTATTGTTTTATCAGAGGGTTTAAATGCTTTGGGTGGAGCTGCTCAGTCACTGGTGAACCATATAAATATATTGCTGTACTGAAAGGTTTCACAGCTGAAGTAAATCCTATATCCCCAAATCAACCAAATCTTGATCTACACACCTGAAAGCTAATCGGAATTTTGAAAAGAACTGTCACCTGTTAAATATTTCATTCATTTATTTATTTATTCAATTAGATATATTATTATATATTCAATTAGATATATTATAGATTTATTCAAAACGATAGATATAGGAGAACGATGCAAACCATCCCACTTTTAAAGGGCAGGAAACATTTCCATCATTTTCTCTCCTTCAGAATGTCACCTGGGAGATCCAACTGCAGCAGCCTAGGGCTCCTGAGCTCCTTTCCCCTCCAAACTGCATATGCAAGGCAGCGACTGCACCAGTATTTCAATCTTCTCTGGCTGGAGATTCAGTTTGTGCATTCACATCCAGTCCATCGCTGCCCTAGCTGCCAGAATTTCCATAACCTCCCAAGGGTTAAATGCAAAAGAGCAGCAGATGTAGATGTCGCCTGCATAATAACAATCCGGCCCAAATCTCCAGGCAGCCTCACCCAGTGGTTTAGCGAGACCAGGTGCTGAGATCCTCACTTCTACACAGTTGTAAAGGTGCAGGAGGCATGAACTTCTGTGCGTGTGACTACCCTGCAGGCAGAGCCGCTCCATCTCAGGCAGCTGAAACACAAGAGGCAGCCCCCCCCCATGGCTTCCACCGCAGCCACAACACCCCTCTCACCGAGGAAGAGGTGCTCTGGCATGCCACATGGCTGCTTGTCCTGCGGAACACTACTCCGCGCATGAGCTCAGCAAGAGGAGGGTTGTTCCAACGTGAAGAAGACAAGTCGCAATGTCTTAGGGCACACCTCCTCTTACACAGAGTTTGGGAAGAAGGTGTGTGTGTTCTGACAAGTGGCAGAAATCAGGGGGGTGGACGCGGTGGCACCAGGGAGTGGCACATTCCTGTTTTGACCACGACTACAGGGCACCCTGTTATGTACTGAAGTTCTCACCCTGGGCCAGCAGGGGAATACTGTAGATAGTTTTCACTCAGGTCCACATATGCAAATAAGGGATTGAAAGTGAGGTTCAGTGATTGGATAGTTACAGAAAATGGTTACTGTTGCATTGTACTGGAGCTCTATATAAGCAGGCTGGCTGAACCCTTCAGTTCAGTTCTGTTCTGGCCTGTGAATAAACAAGAGCTGTTTGAAGAATCGCTGTGTCGTCTGATATGTCCACCCACAACTTAACACACCCAAAAGAGAATTTCCTTCTAGCCTAATTGCAGCGTGGACATTGCATCTCTAGTTGTGAGACACACACTCGAAAACACCCTCTGGGCTACAATCCGGGGTGAAAGACTGCAGCAGAGGGAAGGAGGGGACCCTGCAGGTCAGATGGGGAGGCCCCCAGGGGTCAAATGTGGCCATGATCCAGTGGTTCCCCACCCATGCCATAAGCCAGCAGCCATAGGGCAATGCAACAGCCTTCCAGAGTCGCCTTCTGGGATATATTCCAAGACAAACTGACCCCAATTCATCCTTTTCCTGATCAAGTCAGCAGGAGGGCAATAGCGGCTAGTCCTTTCCCCTTCTTTCCCATAAACCTCCAAGCTGTTCACTTGTCCCTCATATCCACAAGCTTCCTGCCTGCCTCCCATTTGCAAGTGTCTCTTCTTCTTCTTCTTCTTCTTCTTCTTCTTCTTCTTGCCCTCCATCAGCACTTTGTCACCTGACGTGCAGGAACATTTGTGGAACGTGCTCTTTCCCACAAGGTTGCTGCGGATGGGATCAGTCCTACATTTTACAATCTACCTGTGCCTGCAGTGAAGGGTTAGCCAGAACCCCAGGTACTGGGACGTGGGGAGAGAGTGACTCCCCATGGCTGCCACAGTCACCAAAGCAAAACATCCAAGTAGGTGGGTGTTAAGTTGTGGGTGAACCTATCAGACGACACAGTGATTCTTCAAACAGCTCTTGTTTATTCACAGGCCAGAACAGAACTGAACCGAAGTGTTCAGCCAGCTCCACTACAACGCAATAGTAACCATTTTCTGTAACTATCCAATCACTGAATGTCACTTTCGATCCCTTATTTGCATATGTGGACCTGAACTATCTACAGTATCCCCCTGCTGGCCCAGGGTGAGAACTTCAGTACATAACAGTGGAGGAGAAGGGAGCTTGGAGGGAAGGCGAGGAGTTCAATATGGAAGATTTTAAAATCTGAAACAGAGAAGAATTGTAGGTTCTAATAGTCTTCTCATACCCGAGGTGAGCCGTAAAATATCACAAGGTTTACATTTTTGAGAAAGAAAAAGCACATTTGGGTGACATCACTCATCTTAACCAATTTGAAGCTTCAGGGGAAAGATATAAAAAGCCCCCACTGTCAGATTGTTCGAGTAACATAACCAAGGACCACACATGCAACAAAACTCTAGCTTGTTTGGCGAGGCCTTTTAGGGCTTGGCTTTATGCTGCTTACTGGATTGATTGATAGCCTGCTCCGCTTTTAAATTACCGAATTGATTTGTCATTGTTTTTATTGATCTTGTTTTACTGTAAGCCACTCCGGGGGAGCCTGCTGGTTGAAGAACAGCGTACGAATACTTAAAACGTTGACACCCCGGTGAACTTCCACGCTCGGGCGCAGTATACCACGGTGCAAGATGTTAGTGAGCAACAGCCATCTCCGCGCTGCTGCCGTGAGCTCACAGTGAACATCTGGTTCGTCGTTGCTGGGAAAGGGAATGCTGGATTAGAGAGAGCCCTTTGGTTTCATTCGGCAAGGCAATTCCTATGTGTTCACACCTTTTCTAATACCTTCAGAGGTTAAAGGTGGCATTTGATGAGAGCAGCCGTGCAATGTGACTCATGTACAACAAGTCCATTAGGTCTGCTCCGTAATCCAATTTGCAGGGAGTGTGGGCCAATTATCGCTCCCCTCAAACCAAGTCAAGCAGCCTGTAGTCAGCAGCCTCAAATTCTAAGGTTCCGTTTTTTGTTCTCTCTGTTTGCTCTCGACTAGTGGAGACAGCTGCTGCCCGGGTCCTGGCTTGCTGCTAAGCTTCTTGAAGCAAATCCTCTCCCTTTCTGACTTTTCTCATTCATTTCCTTTTGGAGCTTGATGCTTGCCGGGGGCGCCATTAAAAAAGTTCCCCTAGCCTAAAACCTCTAACATGAGCTTATTTTGCTTCCTTCAGAGATACCCTCCGCAAGTGACAGTTGTTCCTGCGCTTTGCCCAGATTTCGCCATTTGCAGCAGTGAGCCTGACAGCTCTTAGTGTTCAGTGACAGCAGCCACTGAATAATTAAGGCAAGTCTCAGAATCAACAGAAATGTTTTCCAAACAATTCCAGAGCGACCTAAAGCCTAAAAATAAAGCAGAACAAGGCTAGGAACTGTACTGAACAGATGATAAAACAAAAACCTTTATTTTTCGTAAGAAAGTTGTGGTGAATGTAATAAATAACAGCAATAACAATGATTATAATATCATTTGTTTGTTTAAACGATTTAGATATTGCTCTTTCCATGGGATTTACAACAGCAACAGCAACAGCATATATTTGTATTCAGTGGCGTAGCGTGGGTTGCCAGCACCCGGGGCAAGGCAAGTAATTTGCGCCCCCTAACCCGAGTGAGCCAGGTAGGGGCAGAGAGCTGCGAGTGCGTGCCCCCCCCAGATGTTGCGCCCGGTGCGGCCGGCCCCCCCTGCACCCCCCATGCTACACCACTGTTTGTATCCTACCCTTCTGGCGGCAACAACAACAACAGCAACAACAACCACCTATATTTGTATCTCACCCAGCTGGCTGGGTTGCCCCAGCCACTCTGAGTGGCTTCCAACATATATAAAAACATAACAAAACATAAAATATTAAAAAGCTCCCCTATACAGTACAGGGCTGCCTTCAGATGTCTCCAAAAGGTTATATAGTTACTCATTTATTGATAAATTCAGTAAGTAATAATACTAATAGCAGCATTTATAGAGCACATTTTCATGATGAGCAGGTTGTCCTCACCTGGTCACTGATTTCCCCCAGAAACTGCCCACTTCAGTCTTACAAGGGAACCCTGGATTTTCCTTGAAAAATGTAGTTACACCCTTAAGTGTCTGTGTTTCCTTTATTCAAACCAGCAGCTGTAGTTTGCAGGCAATACCGGTAAGCCAACTTAAGAGAAGCCTCTCTTGCTTTTGGTCTCAGAAGACCAGGCAAAGGTCTTTTAGTAGCTCTCAGTGGTTTACATTCTGGGTCTGAAAAGGACGCTCCACATATTACCTGTTACCACTGGGCTGGAGACATTCCTACTCAGATCACAAAAGTTCACAGAATTCTCATTGCTTCCGTAGCAGCATTTGAGCCTCTGCTGGGCATTTCTGGTGATGGGTCTGCTCCAGAAATGGCCATTTGTGTAAAATGTGGCTGCCAGTATATTGACAAGGAAAGCTCTCGGAGACCACATAACACCAATCCTGAAAAAGTAACGTAAGTTGATGGTTTCATATTGACCTACAAAGCACTAAAAGCTTTGGGGCTCAGGTATTTAATAGAATCATAGAATTGTAGAGTTGGAAGGTACCAGGAAGATCATCTAACCTAACCCCCTGCAATGCAGGAATCTTTTGCCCAACATGGGGCTCAAACCCATGACCCTAAGATTAAGAGTCTCATACTCTACCAGCTGAGCTATCCTAGGAAGAACTGCCTCACTCTTTATCAGTATTCATTTGACCTTTGAGCTGGGGGCCAGACCCGTCTAGATCAAGGGAAGTAATAGTGCCACTGTATTCTGCTCTGGTCAGACCTCACCTGGAGTACTGTGTCCAGTTCTGGGCACCACAGTTCAAGAAGGACACTAACAAACTGGAACGTGTCCAGAGGAGGGCAACCAAAATGGCCAAAGGCCTGGAAACGATGCCTTATGAGGAACGGCTAAGGGAGCTGGGCATGTTTAGCCTGGAGAAGAGGAGGTTAAGGGGTGATATGATAGCCATGTTCAAATATAGAAAAGGATGTCACATAGAGGAGGGAGAAAGGTTGTTGTTTTCTGCTGCTCCAGAGAAGCGGACACGGAGCAATGGATCCAAACTACAAGAAAGAAGATTCCACCTAAAGATTAGGAAGAACTTCCTGACAGTAAGAGCTGTTCGACAGTGGAATTTGCTGCCAAGGAGTGTGGTGGAGTCTCCTTCTTTGGAGGTCTTTAAGCAGAGGCTTGACAACCATATGTCAGGAGTGCTCTGATGGTGTTTCCTGCTTGGCAGGGGGTTGGACTCGATGGCCCTTGTGGTCTCTTCCAACTCTATGATTCTATGATCTCAAAAGCAGAAGGACACCAGGTGACAACATGAGATAGGACCTTCTCCATGGAGGCATCCATATTTTGGATTGCCCTCCTCAAAGAGATGAGCATTCTGGTCCCAGAAGAGACTCACCCAGGCATTTATAAGTGGTTAGCTGCTTATGCAGTGAGGATGTAATGATAACAGAAGAACAAGTCTTGTTGAATTGTATCCAGCATGGCTTCAGCAACAGGTAAGTCTTGCTAACCTATTAAGAGTTATTTGCAAGGTGCCTTGAATTTTATATAATCATAGAAAGTGCCCACATAAATAAAAACAAATCAACAATAATATTCTGACACTGTAGAATTTCCTCTCATTTCCCTTTTCTGAAATTATTTTCTCCCTCGAACATGCATTCTCCTCCTAGATCCCATGGAATTAGTTTCACCTCTGCTTATCCTCCCGTCAGTTCTTCCCAAAAACTATTTACTCCTGATTTCCCCCAGCCTTCTTTAAGCCACATCAGCCTGACCTGATACAATGAAATGCCTCAGTTCTCCTGGATGTTTTCTATTCAGCAGCCACTAACTATGATAGGCTAGCTTGCATATTACCCTCCTTCTCCACAGGTCATCATCAGTTCCAATATTACCTGTAAGGCCAACTCGGTTTAAACTTTAAATTCAGTTAATGTATGTGCCATAGTAAGCTGTGTCCAAAGTAACTCACAATATCATCTTTTTATTATCATCGAACGACATACATATATTTTTTTCCAGGAGGGCTCACCTGGAATTCTTTTCTCCAGGAGGGCTTGCCTGGCAAACTTGTTACATATCTTTAGGCACCAGGCAAAAACATTCCTCTTCTCCTTTTGGCCTTATAAACGGTGTGTGTGGGTTTGTTGTTTTTGCTTGTTACTATGCTATGTATGTTTGTGTTTTTGTGTTGTATACCACCCTGTAACACTTGGATGAAGGGTGTTGCAGCAAAATGCTGAAAGTAAGTTCTGAGTTTTAAATGTTAAGTCTCCAGGCACATAGCAGAAACTGGGTGATTAACACACTGTTCTGGTATTCCAGAGACATGCCAACCATTCGGAAGAGGAAATATTTTTATCACTTGATTCAACAGTATAACACACTAGGTACTAGAACACTGAATGAAACCTAATGGATAACTATTTGCACAGCATCTGAATACTTTAGCATATGTACGCATCTCACAACATCAGTATAAAGATGCACAGACATGTCACAGCTAGTTGCAAACACATACTGGAAACAGTGGCTCTATTACAATGGGTAATAGAGATATTCAGTTCTTTTTAAAATAAAAATCTTCTGTTCTTGTATTCTTTAGAGGCATATAAAACCACACTGTAACACCTTTAAAAAAAAACAAAAACCATTTCAAAATTTTCGTTTCCTTAATTTTCTCCAAAAAAAGCAACCACTCAAACAAATACAAAATGATGTTTCCTGGCAGCACACTGCCAGTCAGGAGAAGTCTTATTTGCCTTGCTAGGGCTAATTTGACCCAATACAGGTGTGTGCTTGTCTTCGCAGTTGGAAAATAGTGCAGGTGCATAATTAGGCACCAGCAGAAACCCAGTGTTATTGAGACTCTCAATTGTATACAAACAATCACCTGTTGTGGGGTGTCAGTCAACTTAAGCCAAGGTGTGTGCTCTTTGTTCTATTTGCAAAGAGTCCTATACTCATTGCGCAGTCACTTGCTGAGCAAATCTAAAGAAGTCAAGTAGTTCTGGGGCATGTACAGAGTGCCAGCTGAAGAGACCATGCTGGTAATAAGCCACAGCTGGTAGGGATAGGCTGTATGGCCTAAGTTTTGTTTGTGTCTATTTTTCACGTGATCATAGCAAAGAGCTTCCTATCCCATCTATGTGTGGAGGGAGGGGTGGTTTGTTTGCTTTGGTTTTTTACAGATGTGGGGGAAGGAGGAATCAACATTAAGTCCTCTAAAAAGAAAATAAAGGAGAATGAGAACTTACGCAATATTAATTCTATTGAAATTTTTAGAACTCAGAAGACTCCAGCCCTTTTGTGTAAAGGAAAAGCAGCCATAAATCAATAAAAACCAGCACTTCGCCTCTTCTCAATTTAGCTCTGTCTGGGTGAACAGATAATTCCAAACAGCAAATATCTGAGGTGTCTGAATTTCAGACAGAGCTCTGGGCCCATTTCGTTCAGGTACAAACCTCAAGCCACCCCCTCCCCCCATTACTTCTGCCACAGAGCATCTCTCACTATGGAGCAAGTTGAATCATCACACGGTATTGACTGGCGATCTATTTTCAGCCTGCAGTGCTATGCAGGACATATCAGGCACAGCAAAACCAAGATGCAGCAAGAATGTAATAAGGTGCCCAATTATAGCAAACAAAGAAGCATAGATGAAGGCAGAGCACGCACACACACTGCCCCTCACACACAGTTGCTTAAGGGAAACGCATGCATGGGTCGTGGTATCGCAGTGCTCCAACTGACCCACCCAACTTCGCCTGTGCAGAAGCCGCCATCAGTTACCATTAAGAAAGCCGGCTCACAGCTTGGACAAGTTTGCGTTAACTCTTACAAACACACTTCTCTTCTGCACTGAAGAATGAGGGAAATCAACAAAGAGAATAAAAGCTGGATTAATTCTTTGCATTACTACAGAAGATGTTGGGAGGGCTACCCGTATCTTACAAAATATTCCTGGTATTACTTTTGAACACTTAAGCAGCAAAAGATAATATTTTAGAGTAAAATGGCAAATTGCAAAAGTAACAAGTTATTGTGACAGGGCTGCATTGTTGATGCAACTGTGAAATGGTTGCTGCTTTAACTAAAATGAGTAACTATGATAAAACCAGTTCCCTTACCGGACGGTGCTTCTAAAGGAATGCAGAAAATTATGAACATATCCCAGCAAAGAGCTTTATTAAGACTACTGTGAAATGTCTAGAGCAGGGGTAGTCAACCTTTTTATACCTACCGCCCACTAATGCATCTTTCTTGATGGTAAAATTTCCTTACCACCCACCAGTGCTCAATGGAAGGAGGATTCAGCTTGTATCGTAGAACCCCTACCGCCCACCTGGAATCCTGAAACGCCCACTAGTGGGCTGTAGGGACCAGGTTGACAACCCTGGTCTAGAGTATGATGTCTTCCTGAGGAATAATCAATGTGGCATCTACAAATGGAAATCTTGTCTCACCAACCTTTTAGAATTCTTTCAGGTGTCAACATATGGGGGCATGGTTACTGATTAGATGTTCAGCGTTTTTAATAAGGCCTTTGCCAAAATTACAGAAGAGTAGCCAATCACATTGCAACAAAAACAATACCTATGGCTCCTTGTTAATTGCAGCATGATTTACACAGGTGAGCAGCCTCCCTACTCAAAGCCTCCAGGCAACCTTTCAGCACAGCAATTTTGAAAAGGGCTTTTATGTGAGTCGGTGCTTCTTCGATACAAGCCTGCCGAAGTTTTTGTGATTTTGGTGGCTCCACAGTGCCATCTTTTAAGATGGCTGCAAAAACACACACCAATTCAGCAGTGACCCATAGACCTAATTAGGTCCACTTTGCTTTCAGAGGACATCAGGAGCTCTGAATAATTTTTTTGCCTGCATTCAAACAAAACATCTAGCAGCCAGACCCAAGCCCTGGGGGCACAGGTTGTCTCTTGGTTGCCTCACCCAGAATACATCACTCCAAAGAAGGACACACTCTTTTTTAGACCCTGCACAGAATGTAGAAGGGGAGAGTTGGCTGCAACTCTGAGGTGGTGCAGACTCTTGTTCTAACCTAGGTAGCAAATGTTTCCATCCCTTGTTCTGCCCTCAAATAAATTACACAGCAAATGACTTCGGTGGAAATGTTTGAATACTCCATAGTACTACTCTGATAAGTGATCGTGCCCCACTGCAGGAAACAGTTAATCCTCTACAAATTAAACAATTTCCTCTTAATTTGTATGTGTTTTGCCTTTTCCTAATTGTGCACATTTTAAATACTGCTTTACCTGCTGGTATTTCAAGTGCCACTTAAGGTAATGTTAACATACTTTACAGTAAGCAAGTCTTACTAAAATGTAATGGAATGTACTTCTTAACAGAAATATTGCTGAATATTGCGTTTTCTGGCTGGGAAATACAAACTTCAGTGGCTTGTAACAATTGCGTCACTGCAAGATGATTATTACAACTCCAGCCGTCTTCTAGGTTGAACCGTCTTCATCTGAGCTGAAGAACAATTTAAGGACTCCTCCCTCCCACTTGATTCCCCCTTCCCTCACCATGTATTTGAGTTCACAACACACACAGTAATTAACACTGCACGTAATTAACATTATGCATTTTTATCGACATTCTACAAAATACTTTGTGACTCTCAGACTGGAAACCTTGAAGAGCCTTTGGGAATATGATTTTGGCATGGAGAATGTTTAAGCAGATTAGTGCAATATTTGGGCTAAAAAGCCACCAGACCCCACCCAAGTTAGAAAAAACACATTTTAAAATGGTACATAGGTGATAATTGGATCGAGTATCATTGATGGGGCTTTGGGTGTACTGAGATGGTGAACCATATGTGGTGGACCTGCACAACTGTTAATACATTTCAGACTGCAGTGTTTCAGGAAATAAATATGTTCACAAAACAGTCAGTTCAATGCATGCCATAATTGGTGTTATCAAAAAACTGATCGTGTTTCTACTGGTTAAGATCATAGAATTGTAATGTTGGAAGGGACCACAAGGGTCATCTGGTTTAACCCCCTGAAATGCAGGAACCTTTCTGACTAACATGGGGCTTGAACCCACAACTCAGAGAATTAAAGAGTCTTGCGCTTTACCACCTGAGCTATCTGGTCGCAGCTCGTCTACTGATTGCACACACTTGGAATGTTTTGGATAATTTGCAGTTGCCTGCTAGGGGACAAAAGGTCTCATGGAAATGGCTGTCATGGAAACACCGACTAAACAGCTGGAAACACTGAATGGAGAACAACTAGAAAACAACTTTGTAGAATTATGCCATGCTTTTATAGCATACATAGCAAAAACCAATTCCAACACTCCAGCAAAGCATGTCCAATTGCGGTGAGTTATATTTGACTGACCTCTGTACCTTAAGGTTACCAGATTTTTTTCCAATGAATCCGGGGACACTTTTCACCTTTCTACTAAACAGATGGATTTTGTCAGGAGACTGATTTGTAAATCCGGGGACTGTCCCCGGGAAACGGGGATGTCTGGCAACCTTACTGTACCTCGTTCTTATGAGGGGAGAGGGGTTATGCTTTTTGGACGGAGAACTAAGAACACTTGTTTTAAAAATTCATATATTTAGTTTTGTTTAAGTCAAATAAACATGTTGATGATATAATCCTACATATATCTACTCAACAGGATTTATTCCCAGGTAAGTATGTATAGGATTGCAGCCTCCATTATGTTGTTGTTGTTGTTTAGTCATTTAGTCGTGTCCAACTCTTCGTGACCCCATGGACCAGAACACGCCAGGCCCTCCTGTCTTCCATTGCCTCCCGCAGTTTGGTCAAACCCATGCTGGTAGCTTCAAGAACACTGTCCAACCATCTCGTCCTCATGGGTCACTGCCTTGCCGTGGCGAAGGGGCTTGAATAACTCAGAGAAGCTATGAACTATGCCGAGCAGGGCACCCAATATGGACAGGTCATAGTGGAGAGTTTTGACCAAACGTGATCCACCTGGAGCAGGAACCAGCAAGCCACTCCAGTATCCCGGCCAAGAAAACTCCATGGACAAAGACAACAGGCATATAAAAGTCTTCATTATACCTCCATCAATTTAAGACAGTGGAAAATGTTACAATTCATTTTCTTCCAGAAAGCCCCCATCACTGAGACTAGGTGGTAATTGTAATTGCAATCCTCCTGGTCCAAAGAGGGCAACTTCAAGAGTAATCACACAATCACTTCCTTCAAGGCAGACTGCCCTGCATCACAAAACAGGCAAAAACTGCCTCTTGGGTCCAGCTGGCCAACTTGTTCCTGTTAGATGGCGTTAGCTAAGAAGGTCCTTAATTCAGTAGGCTTTTCCAGGCTCAATCTCAAACTTAGACTAGCACAATAAAGAGTGTTGCTCTGTGCTGAAATAGAGGTTCCCCCTTCCGCGCTCATCAGAAACTATTCTGATAGCTGCCCTTGTTGGAGATGTGCAGCTGTATGGCAATTTGAGGGCTTTCAAAATGCATAAACAAGGAATCAACCTTGCAGTAGGCATAGTCTTGTCAATTCTCATTTATTCACTTGGTACTTGGCATTCTTCTTTTCTGCCGTAAGAAGCTGTAAAGATGTATGCAGCTTGGGGTGACAGTCAGCTAAGTTTTACTCACAGTACAGAAATTGAAATTAATGAACATAATAATAATAATTTTTATTTGTACCCCGCCCTCCCCAGCCAAGGCCGGGCTCAGAGCGGCTTACAAGCAATAATAAAAACAAGTTGAATGATTACAACTTAAAAACAAAAATAAAATACAACATTAAAATAATGGAACATTAAAATATTAAAATGTAGCCTCATTGCAGGAGGAGAAGGAAAAGAAAAAAGAAAGAGAGGGAGAGAGGGAATCAAATTGGCTCCAAGCCAAAGGCCAGGCGGAACAACTCTGTCTTACAGGCCCTGCGGAAAGAAATCAGATCCTGTAGGGCCTTGGTCTCATGAGGCAGAGCGTTCCACCAGCCCGGAGCCAGTGTTGAAAAGGCCCTGGCTCTGGTTGAAGCCAATCTAGCTTCCTTAGGGCCCGGGACCACTAGGGTGTTGCTATTTATGGACCTTGAGGCTCTCCGTGGGGCAGACCGGGAGAGGCGGTCCTGTAGGTACGAGGGTCCTAGGCTGTGAAGGGCTTTAAAGGTCAAAACCAGCACCTTAAATCTGACCCTGTACTCCACCAGAAGCCAGTGCAGCTGGAAAAACATGACTTAAGTTGGGTATGTTCATTTCAATAGGTCTACTCTGAGTACAGCTTAGTTGAATAGGTTGGCATCCATCTGTTTTGGGAGACAATGGAACAGTGTGCCTTTGGGGGTGAAGTCAAACTGCTGGAAGGTTACAGTGCCTGCTGTAGCTGTAAAGACCAATATGGGGGAGACATGTTTTGTTGCAGCCGGGGCAGATGAAGGTGTCTAGTTGTGCTGCTGCAGGTGCACCATGGTGTTTTTCTTCTCTCTGTGCTCCTCCCAGTGGTCAATTCCTCCTCTGGTCATTGCTGTGGATACACAACCTGGCTGCCTGTCTTCAAGCACTGAGGTCACCTGCAATAAATCCCCATGGGGCAGGGTTGATGTTGCCAGTCTTTATGTCACATCTTTGTGGTACAGAGTTGATCTGCTAACATGCCTGGTCCCCATAGAGCACGTCCTCAAGGATCCTGACATCTTTCATTCAGCGGACATGACCAAACCAGCATAGGCATCGCTGCAACAGAAATGTGAACATGCAAGGGAGGTGGACTTAGAAGAGCACATCTTTGACGCTCTGTCCTGCACAGACCTCAGTTTCTTTCTTACTGGTTTTGTGAGCATGGAAATCCTGCTCACTGATGACTGGGTATAGAACTCATGACGTATATATGAAAAAAACCCACCATGCATAAATGTAATGGCATATGGGGTGCCCTTCTGGTGTGTTTTGACAATAACAGATGCTGGGAACCCAGCGATCCAGCTCCTTGCCCAGCGGACAGACAAGACCCGCACATCCCCTCCTCCTCACCTCTCATTCTACCTTGTTCCTTCCTATTTATCTGGCTGCAAACTAAGGACGAGATTTTAAACCAATCTGCATGGGCCCCATAATGTAATAAAAACACACAAAAATGATTTGAGGCTTATTTTCTTACCAACTCAAAGGCATAATCTTCCTCTCTTTCAAAACATTGGATGTTGTTCTAATTTCAGTTATCCTTTCTGCTCTTATTAATTGATATAGATATCGGATGGGGGTGGGGGAGATTGATAATTGAAAGGGGATGAATGGCAAGGGTTGGGCAAACGAAGAGCAACTTGCACCCCACCCATCACATTGTCAATATCCTTGGGCCACAATAAATGAAATTCATGCACCAAAACATCACTAGATGGTGTTCTAAACTCATCCATAAACTGAACTGCAGAACTAGCACCATCGCAAAAAGATCTTTAAGAGACTCAGGAGCAAGGAAGGAGTTATAAGACCTTCCTACAATGGGGTTGTGCCAGAGGGCAAAAAGAGGCCAAGGTAGGAAGAGAGCTTTTGTCCCTCTGTTTTCCCATCTCATTCTGTTTTTTCCACTCTGGGGGAGGAGGAGGAGAATACTGCAATTAATCCAGAATGTGGCAGCTAGACTGGTGACTGGGAGTGGCCGCTGGGACCACATAACACCAGTCCTGAGAGATCTGCATTGGCTCCCAGTACATTTCCGAGCACAATCAAAGTGTTGGTGCTGACCTTTAAAGCCCTCGGTCCTGTATACCTGAAGGAGCGTCTCCACCCCCATTGTTCAGCCCGGACACTGAGATCCAGTGCCGAGGGCCTTCTGGTGGTTCCTTCATTGCGAGAAGTGAGGTTACAGGGAACCAGGCAGAGGGCCTTCTCGGTAGTGGCACCCGCCCTGTGGAACACCCTCCCTTCAGATGTGAAGGAAATAAGCAGCTATCTTCTTTTTAAAAGACATCTGAAGGCAGCCCTGTTTAGGGAAGTTTTTAATATTTAATGCTGTATTGTTTTTAACACTTGATTGGAAGCCGCCCAGAGTGGCTGGGGAAACTCAGAGAGTTTTATTATTATTATTATTATTATTATTATTATTATTATTATTATACTATGCCATGGATCAAACGTATCCATTCTTAAGGAAATCAGCCCTGAGTGCTCACTGGAAGGACAGATCATGAAGCTGAGGCTCCAATACTTTGGCCACCTCATGAGAAGAGAAGACTCCCTGGAAAAGACCCTGATGTTGGGAAAGATTGAGGGCACAAGAAGAAGGGGACGACAGAGGACAAGATGGTTAGACAGCGTTCTTGAAGCTACAAACATGAGTCTGACCAAACTGCAGGAGGCAGTGGAAGATAGGAGCGCCTGGCGTGCTCTGGTCCATGGAGTCACAAAGAGTCGGACACGACTAAACGACTAAACAACAACAACTATGCCATGAGAAAATACTGTTATCTCCTCCTCCCCCAGGAGCTGCTATGGGGAGGGAAACTGCTGTGTGTGTGTGTGTGTGTGTGTGTGTGCGTGCACGAGCGCGCCTGCGTGCCTTCCTCTCTGTGTATGTGTACACACATGATTGTGTGTTGGCTTGCTTTGGCCGTGCCCACCTCTGATATGTGGAGATAATGGAGAAGCCAACCATCAGATGCCCTTGGGCTATGCCTGCAGGAGGGAATGGTCACTAAAATCTTAAACCTCATCAGGAATGCTAAGGAAGACAGAGGATCCAGTCCAGAACACCAAGCTAAGAACGTGACTCACATTTCATGATTGTCATGGTGCCCATGTAGGACCGAGTTGAGCCTCAGCATGAATGTTGAGGACCCCCAAAACAACGAGCCTGGGGGATTCACAACAACAAACTGAGATAACCTCTGGCAGATCACGCAAGGAGACCTGGACAGAAGAGCAGAATCCTTAATCTGTCCAGTAAGTGTTACACAAATGCTTACAAGTAGAGCCCACCTGGACATGAGCCTTGGAGGCAGTCCAATATAGCAGGGGTGAGCAACCTTATGCTTGGGGGCCGAATGCAGTCATCTGGATCTCTCTATTTGGCCCTCAGAGTTCTTCTGTCAGGAGTGGTGCCTAATGCGGCCTCAGTGAAGTTAATTCTTTATTCAAAGAAACA